TCATGCAAAAGTTACAAAAAAACACATCAAAAGATCTTCAAAAAATAATTTTTGGTTAGTAGAGAGTACCGAAAAGTATCTTTGATTAATAAAAAGCATCACGAACATGATATAGTAAATATATATAGGTGATACAACCAAGTAGAAATTTTTGGACTAATTTTTTCTTAATCTTAGTGGCAATGAATTTCATCTCCGTTTGAATTCATTATATCTTTGGGCACAAAGGTTTCTTCAACTATAATTGAACTAGCCAAATTTTTTGGCTCGAAGATGTTCGAGTTAGCTAAATTTTTTGGACGATGATAGTCTCAAATGTGGTTAAGAATTCCAACATAATGATCATCATGGTTGTGATTGAATTTTTCACATCCTCATGCAAAATGTCGAACATGATAAAGGTCGAATTAATCAAAAAATTTTAAAAAATAATTTCCACGACCATAATTCAAGTAACCAAAACTTCTAACATAATGTTGTTTATGGTCGCGGTCGAGTTTTCTATCACTTTGGGCACAATATCTTTTCACAATCATAGTTGAAATAGTCAAACATTTTGATTCAATATTTTCTATTGGTCGTAGTGATTGAATCTTGTTAAGAAATTTGAATTGGTTTTTCTTGAGGTAATAGTTAAAGATGAGGCATATATAGTGATTAGCATGACCACTTTTTTTTTTTTTTTTTTGCTCCATATAGCTCGTCTTGATCATTTAATGAGTTGAATAATTTTACTTACATGAGTGTAAGATTTCCTTCGAGACTAATCGGACACAAGGCCCCCCTCCCCAAGTATGATCGAATGCATCCTTGAAAGTATTAGTTTGGCAAGATTGAATTAAAGAACTAAGAAGTTTAAGTATGAGAAACTTAAAGTTGTTTGGGATGTTGAATAGAAAGTGGTTGAGCAAACACTTGTTCAAGTATAGTATGAGTGAAAAGTAATCGAGCATACGGTTGATAAGTTAATTATAAACATTATAAGGTGTGGAAAAACATAACTTGATGCCAAATTGTGATATTTATAGAAACCTTTAAATAAAAAAGATAACAAAATTTTGGCTTATTGTTTAAAGTTATTTGATTTTTAATTTCTTATTTGAATAATTGTATATCTTTAGAAATATCATCAAGTTAACTCGAAACCAAACCTAAATCTAGGTTAATCAATCCTTTAATTGTTAGGTTTACATCCAAGGTTCTTGGATAATGATCTAGAATACCAAAACATAAACACCTTTAATTTCAATAATAATAAAAAAAACCTCCTAGAAATTATGAAATAGGATACTAGGAAGCCCTGATGATATTATGGGTTTTATGGCACTTGATTCTTTTGGTGTTCTATTTGATTAGTATCTCAAAGAAAAACTTGATAGTAAACACTGACATCATATCATTTTTGACCCATCAAAAAAAAAAAATCACAAAAAGAGAAATATATATATATATATAAATATAATACAACAGAAAAAATAAAAGAGAAAAAACTCTAGTCCAATTCTAAAAAGACCCATATAAATAGACATGTGCATACAAAAAAAACAAACACAGACATACTAAAACATAAAAAAATAAAAAAGCAAAAAAAGAAAGAAAAACCAAGCTGACAGAACAGGAGGAGGGAAAAACATAAACAAAGGTATAAGGAAATAGCTTTGCCGTTCGCTAACTCCAACTTTGCGTCTAACACGGGTCACACCATCACGATCAGTTGGTGAAGACGAATCCAATACCAACAGCCTGCCTCCATTCCAATGCGAGAATCCTACTCACACGCGCGAGTAACTTTCTGCCAGCCTGGACTCATGCGCCAGGTATATGTCTTCTAATTTGCACCTTTTATCCATTTTGCTCCCTAAATTTCTGATTTTGTATTTACAATCCTGAGTTTTAAATTTTTATCTAAATTTTATGTGGCGTGATTATTTTGAAGGTTAATGTTCTAGTAATATTAATTATGTAATTAATATAAGATTTGGATGATTTATTGAATTCCATTTACTTAATTTTTTATTTAATTGGAAATAATTGAATTTAGAATCCTTGATTTCATTTAATATATTTAATAACGCTTCAATTTTTTTTATTTTTATTTGTATGTCTAAAATCTGATTTGAATATAGTTGAGAGTATATAATATTTTTTTATTTTTTATTATTTTTTTAAAAAATTAGGATTAAGGGTAGTTGACATATTATAGTATATAATTTTATTTTTTGGCATAAAAACCTCTAAGAAACTTTTTGTTAATGATAAAGCTAGCAATAGGATATCACTTTTTTTTAAAAAATTAAAAAATTAAAATAAGCTAATACAAATCAATAGGTCAAAGCCTTGTGAAAGCCAATTAGTTATTTGATATAATGTGAGGCGAGTCTAGATTAGGAATGGCAATGAGGCCATCCGCACCCCCACCATGCCTTTGAAAATTTTACTCTTTTCTTGTCCCGTGCCTCATACAGGGCAATACTTCTCATACCATCCTCATCTCAAACGGGGATGGGGATCCCCGAAGGGCACTTGTACCATGTTTAATTTTTTATTTTCGTCCCGTCTCACTCTATTCTACTATCAAATTTCAAAATATAGCAAAAAAATTATAATTTATATAGAAAATAAACCCTAAGAGTCAATAGTCATAGATTTTATATAAGGTATAATTATAATTTCGGGGATGTAGTGGGGCAAACGGAGTGGGACGGGCAAATACTATCCCCACCCCTCCTTGTTTAAAATAAATTTTGGGTAGGGCATCCCGCCCGTTTCTAATCAACTCGAGGAATTCCTACGTTGATCGAGGTAGGGCGGGCTCTATTGGGACAGTGGCAAATTGCCATCCTTAATCTAGATCATTCTAAGTCGATCTAAATGATTAGGTTTAGAAGTTGAGATCAATTTTATTCCAATGAAAACTTTTTCTTCTTGTTGTTTTTGTTGTTTATTTGATTTTTTGTTTATTTTAGTACAACTAACTTTGCTTCTTTTTTTTTTTTTTTTTTTTTTTTGCAGATTCTATTCTAAATTTAGAATCAAGTCTTGCTAGCTAGTTTTACTATTGTTTTTAAATGACATGATATGTGATATGGTCTCAAGGCACGTGTTCTTATTGTTTTTAAATGACAAGATAAATTTGAGCCTAAATCCAAACTTGTGTCGCTTTATTTTTTGTGCTTTTTGTTTGGACTAGAGTTGTTTAATTTGCTAAAAAGATTTTAAAACATTAATTTCTATCGTTCTAATTGAGTTCCAATTGCTTGATGACAATTTAGGTGAGAAATTGAGTCTTTTTTCAATTTTCAAATCACCTCATTTAAAAGCTGAAGGAATGGCTCAATAATAAGCTCACAAATTAAAATAGAAAAATAGCCACATAATTGGACTTTGCATATAAAGAAAATCCATAGTTTAGAATTAAACAATAACCTCATTATAAAAGCACATTATGATGACTATGGTATTCTTTATTTGTGTAACCAATTTTTTTATCCAAAACTCTTAGAACTAGTCTTTTAGTTTTTTTTCACCTTTTTAAAAAATTTAGTAGTGACTCTACAGTTCGAATCATATCTCTTTACAGATCACCAAGAAGTTATTGTGTGATAAACACAATAAATCATATAGAAGAAAATAAACTTAGTTTATTTGATTTTTTTCTTATTATTTTTAATTCATTGGAAGGCTGAGCTACATAATGAAGGATAGACTTTTTACCATTACATTCTATAGACACTATAACTCGAATTTTGTTTATTAGAAAAAACTACTAGATACACAATTATTATACCAATTTTGCGTATGTGTGTGCTTAGGCTTGTTAGTTAAATATATTGTGATTGTGAAATCCATTAAGAAGTCTAAAACCATTAAAGTGATATACTGAAACATTCTTATTTTATCTTTAGCGGAATATATTTTTTTTAGACGCAAAATCAACCCAAAATGTGAGATTTAAAATCAAGTATCAAATGCTTGAAATCTAAAATAAAGTGAAATGTATCTGGATCCCCTGTAATATTGGGTAAAGCTCAAACAATCACTAACAAAATTGAGGGTAACAAGTCCTGCTTTTAAACGGAGATAGGTTTCCATCCAATTTACGTTGAATAATTTATTTAATAACTATTTGTGCTTTAACCCATAGGGGCTTCACACCTTTTATCTTAAAAAAAAAAAAAAATTGGATGGAAAACCAATGGCACTTAACATAATGACTAAATTTTACCTCTAATTTTGCCTCAGAACTACTTGTATTGAATAATTTGTAGAGACTCTATTTATGCTTTTGATCAACAGTACAAAAGAGCCTGATAGATTTTTCTCTTCAACCAAAAAAAATAAAAAATAAAAAAATAAAAAACAAAAAATAGTAAATATCAATCCGCAAGAATATAGTATAGTAATCAATTTCCAAGCCTAACATGGATATAACCAATCAACAATCTAGTATGTTGTCAAATGATTGGTAGACAGTGATGATAAAAACGAAAAAAAAAATTATATTTTTTCTACTGAATTTATTTTTTTCCTTAATGATTTTTTTTTAATTTCAATTTTTTAATTCTTATTTTTTAGGTTATATTAAGATATTCCATAAATTTCAACCATAGAAATTGAAATTTACACACCATTGCTGACGATACGAAGAGAGCAGAGAAACAATAATGAAAAGTGCATTATTAAAAGAAACCATGTTTTTTTTTTAAAGTGAAATCGACAAAACAGATAAGTGAATTGAAAGTTGCCCTAAAAAACTAATGATAATAATAATAATCAGGCCACTGAAAAAAGAGAACTCGAACAATTTGATTAAAAACCAAAAAGTGAAGTTTCCATATCATATATATAATAATAATAATAATAATAATAATAAATATACAATCTGCAAAAGGAGAAAGGAGACAAGAATGCTTTTTCTTTGTAACTTTTGGCTTCCTAACTATCTATACTAGAAATGCTTGTGCTTCCAAACCATTCCCACCAATGATTCCATTGAACTCTTAATCTGCCCTTTGTACTGTAGTCTTGAACAACAGGATGTACAACTTTTGATCCATGGAGAAATATAGAAACCCCCCAACAGAATGTGTCACAAAAGATCCAAAACTTGTCCCCACAATGCAGTGCCAAGCCGGCCCGTAAATCCCATCAAACTCCTGCATACGAACAAAGTAAATGAGGAAAATTACTCACAACCCTACCACCTACATGATTCATCAATCAATTTTTACCTATGCTTACCTCGGAAACCCACATCACAAAAAAGCTCAATTAAGTAACCTCACAACTGGAGTAATTAATTTAATTTAATTTACCTTCTTGAGAGTCAGTGCAAGGGTCTTGGAGGTGAACTTTTCAAGACTGTCACAAGTCTTCCTAGCACAACCAATAGCATGGATCTGCATAAATGGTGGCATATCAACTGAAACAATTTTAGCACCATTGCTTGCAAGAAAATCTGCTAGCTCTGCTTGTGACCCACAAAAGGATCTCCTCCTTTCTATTAATGAAACTGATGACATCCTCTTATTCATATCATTCCATTCAAGTAGGTCACCATCCTTCACTGTACAAGTCACTATTTCCTTGGCTTTGTTTTCATTCGCTCCTACAAATTCTTCAACTTTCTTCCTGTTCTCCAGCTGCTGCTGCAACTGATCTTTAGATGACAATTTCTTGACCTTATGAACATCTTCCTTTGCAGTTGCTGTTTTGCTCTCCGATTTTTCCACTTCTCTCGCTTCAACAGTCTTCTTCTTGGGCTGTTGCTGATGTTTCGGTTTGATGATTGAGAACCTAGAAGCACCAAAATCAGCAGAGACAGTCATGGCTTTGGCTTGCAAGTGGATATCTTTGCAATTAGATGGTGGGTGCTTGGTGGATTTTTGGGTTGTTTTGGACATGTAAAACGGTTTGGAAGAGGGTATAATGGGATCTGGATTTGCGGGTTTGGGGTGCTTTTTGTTTTTGAGAGTGGGATCCATGGATGTTGATGATAGATGATGATGATTAATGGGGGAGTCTAAGTGTAGGGATGATGCTAAGATGCGCTTGTGTTGGTGTGGTGTGCCATGTTATGTTATTCCTATTTTATTCGATTGAATGGTGGTGTAGGGTGTTTTCTTTTGTCCTTGGGGTTGCTAGGTTAGGGGGATAAGGAAATGAGGAGGTGGGGAATGTATTGTTTTGTTGTTGTAGGAAAATAACTTAGATCCTGTAGTTTATCAAAACTAATAAGTTAGTCCCTCTAGCATCAAAGCTATCTAAATTGTCCTTTGGCAAGCGTTCGCCATCTTTAATTAGTAATTTTTTGCTTCAAAACAACTCCTTTTCTGATTAAACTTTCCCATATTACCTAAATCTCCTTTTCTTTCTTTCTTTTCTTTTTTGTTTGAAAAAAATTACGAAACAGACAAAGTTAGATGCATATCTGAAAGTAAAGGGATTAAATATATAAATTATAAAACTAAGAGGACTAACAAATAGTTTCATTAAGTTCTTGAACTGAAAAGTTAACATTAAACTGGTTGTTGAGTTATAGGGTGGGGTGGGGTTTCCATGGATGGGGACATGTGCGGTGAGACAGATCTGGTATTGTCTTTTTCTAACATGCGCCGGGGACGGAGGAGATGGAGATGTTGACCGTTGACCAGTTCTGTTTGGACTGACTTGTCCATAATTTTGTTGACAAGGCTTCATAATGGAGCCTCATGTTGTTCATAAAATGTTTTTCATTCTGTTATGTCATCTAATCTCAAGGAAACCTTATTTCATAACATGTGCGGTGATAAATAATGTTTTACTTACTAAGTGAAATGATTAAGAGTTCGAAATGCAGAAAAGAGGCCAAATTAAACAGAAATTCTTCATTAATTAAGGCTCAAGGCTAGCACATCATGGGTCCAAGAAGAGAAATAAACGTACAAACGTCAGGGCCTAAGCTCAACTGTTAGGATAAGCTTACGTTTCTTTCGAATCGGAACAACTTATGCATGATACTTGCGGTAAGACTCGAACTCGACAATCAAAAAAGAACTTGAGTAGAAGATTTGGTAACATCTTGCAATTTCCTCGATACTTCCTTAGATTTTTTAGAAACATTCCTCGTGTAAATTCCTTGTATCTGGCTGACGCAGGGTTCTGATAGTCTTGGAAGTTACCACAAGGTGGGAAAAGAAGAAAGAAAGCAATATATAAATAACAAGGTATCAACTTAAGTCCTTTTAGTGGAGATCAATCAAAAACAAAAGCTCAACAATGAATGCCCAATAACGCCTCAAGGGCGGTCCAAAAAAAATAAATTTAAACAAATACAGCTATACTTTAATTAATTTTAGGGTGAGAATCACCCAATTCCCTGCACTATCATTTTTTAGTCAAAATATTGGATATGCTAAGCCTTCCATCCTAAGAATTACGTAATCAACAATATTAATAATTGGGTAAAAGGGTTTGTTTGGACTAAAATTGGATAGCATGACTAAAAATTGATAGTAGAAGAGCACCTAGTGATTTCACCCATTAATTTCAACCCTAATAGCTCCTCTAAGACTCGGAGATCAGAGTTAAGTTGATTAATGAGTGAAGCACACGATCTCTTTATCTATTTCTGCTATTTGAATCCTTATGTGGTGAGGAGAAAGAAATACTATAAAGTTATGTACTTGTACCAATACTAACAAGCTACAAGAAACTCCTATCAAATACTACTAATGCTGCCCATCACCTGAAACCAGGAACCAAAAGTTGGGGCTCCATCTACAAGAAATGATGATCACAGACACACACACATATACACGCCAGGAAGATTGGATTCTTGTCACCTTCGACTAAGTAGATTGGCAGACAAAACAGGACTTCATTACATGAATGGACCATTTCAGAAGGCTTCAGGTTTCAAGCTAGCGTCTTGACCTCATGAAAAAACAATGGGGGCCACAGAGGATGGCAACCTTCACTAAGCTGAATATGCCCGATGTCAAACAGAGCTTGTGTAAAAGCATGTCCTTGTGAAGGTTCTAATTCCAAGGACTTGGATGCCTAGCATCTTTAAAAGCTGAAGTACCACCAGATGCTGCTGGGGAGGGAGAGGATGCGACATAATTTGTACCTGAGACAGCCATTGTAGGGAGGTTTGCAGGATGTCCATGGTTCCCCATTGGAGCAAACCGTGATGGACTACCAGAAGTTCCCAAACCAGATCGAGAGGAGTGTGGAACCTGCAAATAATTTCAGCAATAGAAAATAAATAGCAAGCCTTACGCATCAATAAACGACACTGAAGGTAGAGAAGGTATAGCAAAATAAAAAGCTGCCCTAGGAAGTCTTCAGATAATCCATCACAAATACATACTAACAATCATGCATCTTGATTTGACTCAATGCAGAACGTATTGGCCTCTGTATGTATAACGAAGTCTGCCAATTAATTTCAAGGAAGCCTAGTTAAATGATTGTTGTTAACTTAAATGGCAACTCTAAGCCATTTCAAGTTCCACAATATCCATATAATTCATTTATTAGGAAGCTTAACTGAATAATTGCTTGTTCAAGCAAGATCCGTCAAGCTAAACTCCAACTCTAAGCTATTTCAAATTCTGTAACATCCCTTAATGTGCAAACGAGTAATCATTTTAGTGTATAGCCCACTGTCCAATTACTCTGTGATAGTGTTTATAAACATCTGTTTAAAAAGCCAAGGCTGCTCTGAGTTTTATGTTTGCCTAGAGTCGCCATAAAATTCAGAGCAAACTGGGGCAAGCTCAAGCGATACTGGCGTGAGAATTAGAATAGCAATCCAGGTTGGGCCCTTTATCTACCTTAGTGCTCGAATATCTCTAAAGAGAGTTCACTAATATCCAACAACCAGACCATAAAAAATTAAAAGGGCAAGAAAGGAAATTTAATTTGGATGAACTGCAACACAAACAGGCATATCAATAGTCATCGACCCTGAGTGAGTGTTATGATTTGAAATATAGGAAGTACAAAAAGACAAATTGCAGTTGTAGCAAAGTACATATACTTTACCACATTGTGCTGAATATAGGAAGGCCTTCTAAGAGGAGACTCTGATGAGGGAGAAGGAGAAGTACTGCTCATTCTATATATATGACGAGAGTGTGTGTTATGATTTGAAATATCTTCAGCTTCTCCCCCTTCTATATCACCACCAGGATTTGCCTCAGCGCCAATCCTAGGAGTAGGATGCCTAGTCATCGACCCTGAGTCATTTGATACATCCACTTGAAGTTGAACAGAAGGGCGAACCGCCATTCCTTGGGTACCATTTCTCCTCTTTAATTCTTCCTCCACATTCAAGATCTGTCAGTCATTCCAAGTTCATCAATAATTTAAAAGAAAGAAATAGTAACTCGAGCACAAAAACAGCACCAATCACATTCCTTAATCAGGCCCAGAGAGAAGAAAAAGGCTACCTGCTTCAACGCTTGTACAAGGCTATGCTTCTTTGCATTTAGAACTTGTAACTTGTCCTCGATTTCTCTTTTCCTATTCTCTTTTTTGTCTAACTCATTTGCATTACTCATCGTCTAAAAAGTAAGAAAATAAAATTGAGAAATGTTGATCATGGTTTAAATAATAAATCATCAAAAACCGAGAGTAAAATGAATACCTCAATATTAGGGTTAACTAAGTCGTCAGGTTTTTGCAAATTACTTGCATTCGGATCGCCACCATTAACTGCATCACCAGCGGGCTTCAAGGAGCAATCAGCGCCGTCCAACCCTCCATCATCTTTGACATCCTCCCTAGAACTAGAAGCTCCTCCACCTTTAAAATCTTCTTCCTCTTCTTCTTCTTTACCATTATTATTTGTAGTAATCTCTTCTTGTACTGGTTCCAAATTAGGTTCAAATGGGGGTTTCTCGTTGTGATTTGAATTAGGGTTTGAGGTGGTGGTGGAGCGGAGGCAAGAGAGGGCTTTGGAACGGCGGTGGAAAAGGGATTTGAAATCTTTGAGAGAAATTTTGGGAGTAGGCATTAGCCATCGACGTGGTACGTCCGCTACGTTGTGTAAATTCCCTCTGTACAGCGATATCGCCACCATATCTCTCCTCCGCTCTCTCCCTCTTTAGATCAGAACAAAAGCTACTTGGCTTACTCAAAGAAACCACTTGTCGTTGGCTTAATAATGCATTAGTCCCTCAAATATTCATATTTGGTCCAATCGACTCCTTTATTTTATTTCATAAACTTATATATGGTTGTTTGTCAGGTCAACCATCTAACTGTTTCTTTCTTTTTTGCGTCCAAAAAAGCATACAAAGACACAATCTGGTCACTGGTCCATTGAAGAGATACTATATAGCATGCAGTATTGTTTTCACAGTTTTAGTATGAAAGTACTAATTCTCAAAATAGTATTTTAACTTTACAGTTAATAAATAAATGCTTGAATTTTTTTTTTTTTATACCAATGTAATACCTATTAAAGAATAATATAAATTATATCCTAGGTAATAGCTTAATTTTTTTAATGAGATAGTCCTTTGATATTCTATCGAGTCTTAATTACCAAATGGTAATGAGTTCAAATCCTATCATCATCATTTTTTCTTCTAATTAATTAAGCAAAATATTGATTAGATGCTAATGTAATGCACCAGTATACCACTACATGTTTGGCACTGTTGCTACCAACAATGATCCTCAAACATTTAATTTGATAAAATGACTTCAGATTTTGGTAAGAATAAACTGTAACTTTAGGATAGTAGAAAGCTGGACTTGTAACTTATAATCAGTTGAGGTGTGAAATGGTTGAGAGTAGGCAGGAAAACTGAAAAAAGGCTTTAAAATGGAGACAAGACGATATATTGATAACTATGTATAGTTTCAAAGTGTATATATATATATATATATACAAAACAAACTCGAGGGGGAAATTAATGAACATAAAGTTTGCTTCATAGTGTACCTAATTATCAATTTAAATCTCGAGGTTGCAAAACTGCGTTGATCAATTGAGAAAAACGGAAGAAGGTAAAAAGAAAGTTTTTTCTATGAGCAACATATATAACATGTAACGAAACTCAGTACCTCCTACCTATGGCTGCATGAAGCCTAATAATCATCTCCCCTTCATCAGGTGTGAAGCTGTCATGCTTGAGTTCAGGCCTCAGCTAATTAGTCCACCTAAGTCTACAACTCTTTCCACATCTTTGAAGTCCTGCAAAACATGCTCATCTATGTAAATCAAGCAGGTTGACAGGAAAATTCAAAATTATAGCAACAAAAATGTGTATATATATTAATCTGCTTTAATAAGCGAGAAATACTTTTTTTTTTTAATTACTTTACTTGCCATTTTTTTTTTTTTTAATGGTATTCTGCTTTACAATTTTCTCTTAAAAACAAATCGAAGAGAAAAAAAAAATGATAAGAATGAATTGAAACAACATTATTCTTCCCATGCATTCCTAGCTAATTCAATGTGTTAGAGGTGTCTATATGCAAATAAAATTTTCCTTTTTTTTTTTTTTTTTTTAATGAGAAAGCAATAATAATCCATCATAAGGTCACCCATTTTTAATTCTTTATACAATCATATTTGTCATGTAGTGTGTGTATGAGTAAATTATAAATTAGTCCCTCTAGTTTTAAAAAATAAATTAATTAGCTAGTAAAATAGCTGTATATAAGGAGAGATTACAGAGAAGAAGGATCATCTTGGATTATTTGTAGAATCAATTCTTTCTGTTTTTCTTCTCTAAAATTTCTCTCTGTAAAACATTTCTTGCATTCTTTACAGCTCCTGTATTTCGACTTCACTGCATGTATTTTCTGCATTTACATGAATAAAACTATAATTTATTCAATTCTTTCTTGAATTCTTTTTCACTGGAACTGTAACCGGTAACATCCTCTGCAATCGATCCAAAGACCCTTATTCACATTCAACTTGTCACAGCAAGGAGGTCTAACCATCGTAATTATCTGTTTTATGCAAAGTAACAAATCAAAAGATGATATTACAAAATAAAACAAGCTAAAAGAGGGAGAAAAAAAAATAAAGAAGGTTAATCGAGGTATAATTGATATTGATATCATTCAACTTGAAACTTAAGTTCTACAGAAAAAAACGCTTTTTTTGAAAGGTCGAGATGAGAAAGAATGTGGGTTTAAAGGTACAACTAGTGTGGAAACAAGAAAAGCATGAAGGTAGCTCACATTTTATTAAATTGCATGATGTAAAGCATCTTGGGATGATGTATATATATGTGAGAATGCTAGCTAGCTCCATAAATTTTTGTTTTTTCTTTTTACAATGGCTACTAATATTAAAAAAGTCTCATTCAAACAAAACGTTTTGTAAAATTGCATGCACTTTTAATTTCTATTAAATCCATTTATAATTAAAATCCAAAAATAAAAAAATGACATAAAAATTTAACAGACCGTAGTTATTTTTTATTAGTGGGCCATGGGTTATAGTCTTATGTTATCTTTGAATTCATTAGATGGAAAGATCAACACCTTTTGAGAAATTCTACTAGTAATAAGAAAAAAAAAGTAGCAATTTTTTTTTTGTCTATATCTGTAATAATTATCTAACACATAATTTTAAAAAACACTCTAAAAAAAATAGGATTCATAAAAACTATAATAATATTATTATAATGTTAAAAGCTAATGGAGTTTTGAATAAAGTTTTCGTTCACACATTATGCATTTGAGTTATGCATAAAGTTTAATTGAATGAATAACTCTATTAGACAAGATTAATACACAACTATTATAATATAAACATTGGTATATGAGATCTAATATTTTATCAAGTTTTGGACATTGAATATCAATTCTTAAAACTAAAAGAGGATCAACTTATCAATCGTATGACTAGGATTACCCAAAACGATCATACTCATAAACCTTAATTAGAGGGATGATTATATATATAGTATGACTAGGATTACCCAAAACGATCATATTCATAAAACCTTAAAAAAAAAAAAAAAAATTCAAATTCAAAACCGTTTAACAAAAACGAAGAACCTTGCAACCTAAAATCAAATTGGAGAGTGCGAAGGCATTTTTGGAATAATACAAAATTAAGGTGGTATGAATTTCAGATAACACCGAATAAATTATGAGTCAGTATCAAAATCCAATAAAAGAATCCAATGCATATCTTAGCACAAGGGAAAAAAAAAAAAGAGGACTTTGAAGTTCACATACCATTCTCATTTCACTTGCTAATATTATCATTATCAAACTTTGGAAAAACACAGTCTCTTGTACAAAAATATTATGTTTATTTTAATAAGTGATATCGTAAATTTTTTTCATAAAAAAATGAATTACATATGTTGAATGTTAGAAAAAAAAATTAAAATGTATAGAACTATGCTACTTTTTGATATGCAAAAAATAAAGATTGAATTACAAACTAGTTCCTCCATATTTGAGGATGGTAAGTGACAATTACAACTCTCTTTATTATCATTATTATCATTACTTTGGAGTTATTATGTTTCGAAAATCTAATTCAATCCAATCTTAGCTCCACTCGAAGATTTACAGAAGATAAGAATGTTAGTAGGAAACATTCATTTCTATCTCGATTGCTATTCTTTTCAAGCATTTCCACCGCATCATATTTATGTTCTAGTAGTCTTTTAAAATCCAGAATCAATCCAATTTAATAGGGCAAAAGATGATTGCTTTTGGAATTAAGCTAGCTAAGTCTTCCTTCACTTTTCGTCTCAAAATGAACTTTCTCTATTCTTCTCATGAATCCTTAGAGCAGAAAACCTTTTTCACCAGAGATCTTGAACCATGATTTTTTGATGGTTTTCTGTGATATTACACTACCGACCTTATCATAATGCCATGTATTCTTTATTAAGAGAGGAGATCCGCCATATTGTGATATTTATATGTGATCCTTGACGAAGATTCTTGATTTGAAATCCTCATTAATAGTGGATCACAGCCCTTGAAAGTTTACCACTCGCACATTGGGCATAAATCATTGGTAGGGACTCTGATTTTTGTATCTTCGAACTTCAAATATTTTTGTACTTCAACTTCATGCCATTATCCACAACCTTCTCTCCTTTTTTCCCTTTCTTCTCTATTTTTTCGGAATCGCCTCTTTCCTGAAATTGTGATCCATATATTGTCAATTACTAAAATGAATTATATATATATATATATATATATATATATATATATATATATATATATATATATATATATATATATATATATATATATATATATATTTATATTTATATATATATATGCTTATTATATTGTTCTTGGTATTTTTCTTAAATGAACAAAAGTTTTTGAGTCCGTGACAACTTAACTGGGAGTAACTTAGAAAATGAAGCAAATTCTATATAAGAAATTTGAGAACACCAACATATAAATTTGATTTAACACCTAAAGGTTATTATGGTGCATGAGCTTATGTTATAGTATCATTCTTTATTGTAGCAAGGTTTTGATTTTACCTTTCAAGCTGGAAGTACTAAACAATCATCCTTTTCTGAAATGCCATGAACAACAATCTTTCACTCCAAATTGATAGTTTATGCAATTCATACATAAACATGCCTATCAAAATATATTGAAAAACAATATATATTTTTCAATTTTGATGATTAATCTGATATATAAAGACATTTGAAATTTTGTGTCTCAGAATTTCGGTGATTTATGAAAGAAAAAGTTGAACTTACAACCTCTATTTTAGAGAGAAGTTATAATTATAAATAAGCTACCTCAACCATTTAGAATCAAACATTTATATAAGAAACAAGCATCAAATAAAAATGATTATTGAATTAGGATTTTATATTTACAATAAAATCTATTAAGATTATAGTAACTAAATTTGGAAGTGCCTATAAAAAAATAGTTTCAAATATAATATAAAAGATAGATATGCTAATATTGGGTTCAACGGCAAAAATTATCTCAATTCTATTACAATTTGATAATTTCAAGCCTTTATTACCAATTTGCATAATTTGAATCCCCAAATATTGATTTTTGAGCAAATCTTATCCAAATTCATTAATTGTAATGGTTAGCCTA